AGCTGCGCGAACTGCTGGATATGTGGTCCGGGCCTTCCACGCGAGCACGTTGGGTACGGCAGGCCTGGATCGTGTGATCAAGGCGGGCCCCGAGATGTGGCTGACCGTGAGCCAGGTGCCTGGCACGGAGGTCCGCCCGCACTTGAGATCGATCCTGTTGTTCGCGTCCCGGAACCGGAACTCAACACGATCGGCATCGTTGCCATAGCCCTCTCTCGAGGCACGATCGGTAACTCGGAGCTCGCAAGTGCTCATAGCATGATCACTCGCCATTACCGCTCCTCTTGGCCCGATCGTGTAGACTCGGGCTCCGACTTCGAACGAAGTCACTGAGACCTTCCATCCCACGAAGACCGAGATGACGATCGAGGGGCGGAACCACCCTTCGTTGGTTGTCCTGATCAGGACCTCGTCACAGAACTGCTGCTGGACAGAGAGGTCCGAGTCCGAACGGTATCCTCGGAACACCCAGTGGAAAAGGACCTCGTTCCCATTGAAGACCTTCACGTCCACATAGGTGGCCGAGGTGTCGAACATCACCGGCCATGTGAAAGGCTGGAAAGCCGGGTGCGATAGCGCCCGACTCGCATAGGAGTCCCACTGAGCACATGGGCCCCCAGTCTTCGAGGTCATCGAGAACAGCAGAACTGCTTTGATGCCGTCGAGGGTGTAGTTCGCGAACAGCGAGCAATGGTAGCCCGAGTTCGGGGGCATGACCAGATCCCGCTCCGTCAGCACATTGATCGAGCTGGCGGCATTCGAGATGATCTCCTCGGCGAGCCAGTTTTGGAACGGGGAGATCACCCGATCGTCGCGATTGTCGATGACGAGGAGGGAGTTCTGGGTCTCGTCCTCTTCTTCCACCACGAGCTGGCGGACGAACTCAGGCCGCTGAACCGCAAAGGGGTTAGGTGCCGCAGGGGCGGGGCGATCGTTACGATGTCCCCGGCGATCGCCGCGACCCCAGCCTCCGGAGCCCCAATCGCCGGATGCGGCAGCTGGAGCTGCAGGATTCTCGGGAGCCTCTGCCTCGCCTGGAGTATAGAATCCCCAGTTTCCCGGATTCTCAGGCTGACCAAGCCGGCGAGGCAACCCGAACTGGGGAGCCATCGGGGCCGCCATCTGCCGACCTTGAACGAAGCCAGCGGGAGGGAACGACATGGCTGCAATCGAGCAAGCCTATTCAATCTCACCTCCCACGCCGAAATTTTTCGGTATGGCCCGATCGGCTATCGCCAAAATGGCCACGGAAAAGATAGATCAAGTCTGTTCCAACGATCGCGAAACTGATCTCCTAATTCCTACCCACCAGACCGATAATTAGGAGACATACATACATACATACATACATACATACATCTTCTTGCGGACGCAACGAAGAAAGTCTTCGCCTAGCGAGTCAGAGCATGTTGCATATTGCAACACGGTGTCTGTGTTGGACACAATGCCACGACGAATTCGTCAATGGCGGAATACAATACACATACATACATACATACATACATACATACATACATACATACATACATACATACACATACATACATACATACATACACATACATACATACATACATACACACATACATACATACATACATACATACATACATACATACATACATACACACACATACATACATACATGCATACATACATACATACATACATACATACATATATACATACACATATATATATATCTGTATAAACACATGTTGTGTGTGTGTCTGTTAAAAAATAGAGAGCTGAGCTTCATGGATATAGTCTGGCAATTCCACATACAGAGATACAATAAAAAACTGCTTAAAAAAGAAAGAAAACATGTGATGGCAGGCTGGTTTCAACCAAAGCCCACCCCAGCACAACCCCACCACCAAAGACCCCACAGCCCAGCCCACAACCACCACCCCCAAACACACCGACTCACACCACACCCCCGACCTTGCCCCCACCACCTAGCACTTGGACCCAAGCTGAAGTATCCACCCAGCCGCCCACGAACGGCCACGGAGGAGCTGACACCATCTCCTTGAGTGCCATGCACCAGTCAGCACTCCCCAAAGCTCTTTACCCAACACACTGGTTTCCAAGACACCGCCACTCATCCCTGAACCCAAACGCCCCCCCTTCCTCCAAGACCCCACTCAAGGCTAAGGTCCTGCAGGCAACCAGCCCCAGCGCGAGACCCAGCTCCACAGCCAGAGCAAGCCCCATCAGAACATTTCATGAGATGAGCGGGGCCCAGCGATCCATCACGAAGACCAAGTCGACAGGGTGGAAACACAAAGTTGGCTGGCTGGCATGTTTTATCCAGTCCGAGGAGTGGAGCCGAGCCGAAACCATGGCCCAGAGCTTCCACGAGGAAGCCGCGCAGCAGCTTTCCAAGCAGAACCACGACGACAGCTGCTTCGCCTCCCACCACTCAGTCATCCGGATGCAAAAGGGCATCTGGCTCTCCAAGGCCATTCGAGGGGAACTGGCCCAGGGCCGACAACCAAGTCGAGCGGAGGCCAAGCTGCAATTGAGCACCCATTTTGTTTTCCACATAAACTCCATTTCTTCATTCTCTACAGTACCAGTAGATTTCAACCCACAGTCTCCAAAACTTTGGTAAAGCCAGGTTATATAGCTTTGCTGGGAAGTCTGGTATCATGTGTATCCAGGGTACATGAGGGAACCCCAGTTCCGCCAATGGGTGGAGAAGCGATTTGGTGCGATCCGGCCAGGAACCACCCTCCATGCCGGATCGCATGCGTTCTCTCCAGTGAGGAGCCAATGCTTGTTCACCAATAAAAGCATATACAGCCTGCTCCTGGCAGGACCACCCACGGCCACATCTTCCACTGCAGAGAGACCAGGAGAAACCACAGCTACCATAGTGATCGCTGCCAAAAAAACTGTGACCGCTGGGCCATGTTGCCTTGCAAGCCAAGTGACCATACCATGCTTTCCCATGCAGCCATGTGGCTAGCACCTTTTTCAAGCCAAATGGCCATTACCATATATATGCGAAGCCTGCCAAATATTTTGCGGCAGTTGGGAAACGGACCACATATACCCAATAGACCTCCATATACTCTCGTTCCTGCAAGCTTCCGCGCTTTTGTTTGTTTTTGCGAAGTTTCCTGCATGCTTCCGTGCTTTTGTTTGTTTTTGCGAGGTCGTCAAAGAATTCCAGAGAGATGAAGAGGGTGTAGGTGTCAGGATGCTTTGTCCATTGCAGCCATTCTGGCCATTCAGCCCCAGCAGCCCTGCCCGAGCAGCTATTGCTTCTGACCATGCAGCAGACATGCTGCCAGACTCACCAGTGACGGAGAGCATGGCCAAGATCCAGGGATACCAGCTGGTCCTCGGAGCGCATCTGCCAGATGCTGGCCAAGGCCAACGAGGCTTCCAAGCTGCCAGAGCCCATGAAGGACAAGATTCTCAGATTCTCAGCACCATCCAGAATTTGTCCATGAACACAGGCTCCCAGCTCAAGTTGGTCAACAGTGGCCAATCCGTCCAGCGGCTGTGCCCATACTTGACCAGGCCGGACTGGACCTCTTTGGCCCAGCTCACAAGGCAGACGGACCAATTGGAGGTTTTGGCCAGGAGACTCCGAGCCATGTGAGTGCACTCCTTAATGGAGTGCACTAAGGGCCAAGCGGCCATTGCATTGATGGTAAGCTGGGCAAGGCAGATTTCGAGGACCCATGTCTGGCTCCATGGCTCAAGAAGGCCCCTGGCTTGCATAAGTTCGTGTTTTGGCGACGGGTCATTCCAGTTTTTCTTTGTGACATGTACAGGTTTCTATGCCCCCGAGGTGCCTTTGCGAAGCACCCATGCTTCATTGGCCGCCAACGGCGGTACCAGGTGCAGGACCAGGACACGTGTTGCTCAAGCTTTCCTTCTTCCATGTCCTCATGCTATACTATAGAGAAGATAAAGTGCTCATTCGCAGCTCTTAAGTGCTGCATTTCACCCTGCAAGGACGGCACGACATTGGCACAGTTCGAGAAGGAGCAGTTCCAGAAGCTGCTGGAGGCCAAGACCAAAAAGAACCAGAGCAAAAACTGTGGCCATGTCTACCCGACAAAGCTCGGCGGAACAAGCCCCCGGCTGCAACGGCCAGGGCCCTGCCAAAGGTGCCACCACGGCCACGGGCAAAACCACGGAGATCCCATACGGGTGCATCCGCTGTAGGGGCAACTTGCTCCAGTTGTTGGGTTTCTGTTCTTGCAGGGCAGCACCAAGAGCCCAGGTGCAGGGCAGCAAGAAACCATGAACAGCTCGGGCACGCCGACACCAGGAAAAGACCGCCTGTCCATAGAATGTGAATCTTTAAAGCCATCCCATGGCCATGCACACTGCCGCAGTTTATGTATACATGATGCACTTCCGATGGCTCCGTTGACGCAGAAAGCCCGCCATTGCTTCAGACATCGCTTGGCATGCACGCCGAAAAGAGGTCCGTGAGCATTTGACACGCAAAGCCTATACAGACCTGCAGCCTTCATCCAAACGCCACCATAGATAGCTTTGAGTCCCGTTTGAAGCAAAGCACTCTGCCACTGCCCTTGGCCCCAAACTCACTCACAGCCATTTCTGACCATGGAGCCTCCGCAGAAGAAGAGCAAACTGCAGCAGCTGCTCACCTTCAACACGCGTTTGCCAGCACACTCCCAGAGTGCACTTGCTGCTTTTGTCCAGGCTGTCAAAGACCATGACCTGCCAGAAGCAAGTTCTTCCAACGACCAATCTATCTGCTGGTAACTGGAGAACCTCGTCGTCGGTGGTGATGTAGTGGTCAATGACATCCTGGTCCTCTGGGCTGCTGGCTGCTCTGGAGTGAAGGTTAGCGCGCAATATACAAGATTTGGTTCCAGCATCGCCTTTGCTGGACCAGATGGCATGGTGAGCAGCGCCATCTGCGAGACATATACCCCATTGGAAGTGCAGTCGGATGTCTGGCCCAAGCAAATACCCTGCTCTTGGTTCGACATGGGCAGCGCAAAATGGCCGAGAGGACAGTGGACATGATCTGGCAAACACCTCCTTGGAGCCGGCTCACGAAGTTGGATCTTTCCAACGACATGGTCAACCAGATGTCCCCATGGTGGATGACTTGGCCGAGCTCCTGGAACGTGCCGTACATTTTCGCTCGGCACGTCCTAAAACGTTTCCTGGATAAGGTTGCATGGTCTGTGGACGGAAGATGGATTGGACTGGTGTTTTCTCTGGAGCAGATCATGGAAGCTGCCACCCATCTGGAAAAAGACTGGCCAGGTAAACCAAAAAGTTGGCGAAGTAGGTGACGGGGGCACCATCACTGGTGGTCAGTTTTGCTTCTTGGACCAATGGTCCCAGTGCACCACCGTGGCAGCTGTCCAGGAGCTCTTCTCTGGCCTTTTTTGGATGACAAGAAACGGACTGCCACCACCAAGGCGGAGTTCAACAGTGGGCAACAGGCCACAGGCTGGACATGGAATGCCCATGCCCTCTTTTTGCACCAGGCGCTGTTGTCCAAAGGTCAAATCCGACCAGTGAGCCAGTTCTGCCACGATTGGATGCATGGGATCTTGCAAGGGACTGCCCCGGTGGTCCTCTCCCAGACCATGCGAACGATTGGCGGCGGTGGGTTTGATGCTTGGGGTTCTATGCATCGATATGTCCAGCTCTGGTCTGTTCCAGGGGCTTGGAAAGGAGGCCACCTGCCAACTTTGTTTTCCGCCAAGATGGCCACGAAGCACCAGTCAAGCGAGAAGTTTTCCTGCCAGGCCAGCAATTTGCTGCCTTTGTACCCAATCATGCGGCATTACCTACACATGGTTGTGATTCCAGCAGGCAGCTGCCCAGAGGCATGCAAGGCCTTCCTGGCCCAGGCCATGCTTTAGGACCAGGTGCACCAAGGAACCATGTATGGGGCCACAACCAGAGCCAGCTTGCTGGCAGCTGCGGAGGATGCCATCCAGAGCTTCCAGGCGGCCGACTTTGCCGTCCCATTGATGAAAACATGGCACTGGCTACTGCATATGCCAAACTTCTTAGAGAAACCTGGGATCCTACCATCCACATTCAGCACAGAGAGGAAGCACAAGACGATTTCGGCTTATGCGACCAGACTGCAGAAGACCAGTGCTTTCGAGTCCCATTTGATGAAGCAGATCGTAGCCGTTGAAGCCAGCAAGAAACAACTCCAATTCTTGCAGAACTTCGTGGATGCCCCAGGCAGAGACACCATGGTTGCTTCAAGTGCCAGGCTGGCCAGGGGTGGTGTCATCCACAACCATGATGTCGTGGTCTTCCACCACGACGACGGCAGTTGGCAGATGGGGCAAGTCTGCTTCCACCTGGAGCTTGCCGGCCAGAAAGCTGCATTGCTCCAACGGTGGAGTCCAAGCGAAGTCCACAAGATGGCTCAATACGCCAAATGCTCCATCAGGGACGAGCATGGCTTCGTTCCCATCGACTCCATCCAGTACCCACTGCTGTATAAGAAGGACTCAAAGCAAGAGGCCACTGTGCTGCTCCCATACCAACTATACAGCCGGCTTTGAAAAGGCGTGCTGCTCCCAAGCTCGTCATTTCTGGCCGTTCCAGATGCTCTTCCTATCTCTCTCGTTCTCTCGCTCTTCCTCCCGAGATCCTAAACCCGAATATCAGAAGCCTGCCCATAGCCATGGCACATCCATCCGCCATCGCACTTGATTATATACCTGTAGCCTCATGTGCATAATCTTCTATATACGCTGTGTCGATCACAAATGCCTTTGTTTTTGGTCAATGTCAACTGCATCTGTAACTTAAGCCAACTCAATCTAACTTTTCAGCTAACTAACATAACTATGTTAAGTAGCTATAACACGACGAGGATTCCAAGCAGAGCCTTATTGCGCGCGCCGCATGCCACAGAGCCCTCTGGAGAGAGCGTTTAGTGGCGTTTACACTCTTCCGTCGTGGCGTGCTGCGTTGTTCTGTCTTCCGTCGCGGGCTGTGTTGTTCTGTATTGTGTGCGTATAAGTGAGTGAGTGAGCGAGTACTGAGGGAGGAAGGGAGTGCGGGAGGGAGGGAGGGAGTGAACGAGTGAGGGGGGAAGTGAAGGAGTGAAGGACTGCGGAGAGCATTGCAAAGAAAACAAAAACCCCACAGTGATGTGGAGAAAAACAAAAAATCGAAAAAGCGCATAGACCACTAAAAAATGTTTGGGCATGCTTGCCTACATTGCCTACAGACTTATATAGCGAATAACAAAGCTCAAAAAGGCAAACATGCTGAAAGACTCTTAACTCGCTTGGCAAATCCAGACAGGCCACTATGCTGCCCGGCTGTACTCCCACGGCAACGTTGTGCAACTTCCTCGGGTCGCAGGCCAAGTGCTCACTTATCCCTTCTACTACAGAAACCCAAACAACTACAGCAACTCCAACACAAACACTTGCCAAGTTTTGCCAAGCTGCACGCGCCAGCCTTTCGCATTGTAGGCATGCTCGATCTCATGAAGGCGCTGCCCCCACCTGCCACGTGCAAGCCCGACACTTGTTTCTCAACAGAAGCAGCATGAGACCTACTCATACTGCCAACCTTATCAAGTACGAAAGGGAACCTGCGCCCGGCGGTGTCTGACCGATGCTGGTGAAAGATGGCTCTTGGAACAAGATAGACAGCTACTGTGTCTGCAGCGTGCCGTTTATTTTGAGCTTGGGCATTGGCTAAACCGAACAGAAAACATGAACGAAAAGCTGGCTGGCCTTGGATTCGGTTCAAAGCCAAATGCGCACAGTCCTGTTGCCGCTGACGGCATGGACCGAAACGAAGCTGACCCGAAAGCTTCGTCAAATATCGGAAGATATCTCGACTCATTGTACTTCTCCGGCTCAAAAAGCTTTCGGATATGAGTTGCCCGGTTCGCACCGACATCCAGGAAGATCTTCGTGCAGCCATTGAACTCTGAGGGAAAAACTCGCCAGCCATCTTGGTCTGACTCAACTTGCCACTGCAACTGCGTCCAACTTGACCACGCTAGAACACAAGCGATCAGTGTGAAGAAAGCCCGCCGAAATGAACACACTCTCGCCATCATCGGCCAGCACAAGCTTGCCCGATCAACAAGCCATGCCATCTTATGTCGATGGGCTAGATCCTTGGAGGACATGCCGAACTTGAGTCCATGACAATGCGAAGCCTACGTCCAAAACGGCACATGGTCATTTAGCTAATCTCGGAGCTGTGAACTACACTTAGTCTGAGGATGTCGATCAATTCCCAGGCCTCGCATCAAGCCTGGTTTTGGTGAGAACCTATGCTTTGGTTTAGGCGGTGTCTTCTTGACAGATATTTCTGCTCATATGCCAGCTTGGGCCTGTTGAGCCGAGATGGCCATTCCACATCCGCTAGCATCTGCAAGATCTTGCACAGCCAGAAGAATAAGCAATCGACGAGGCATTTCTCAAATTTCAACTTGCAGTTTGGGTACGTGAAGGGTCCCGGGCGTGGGAAGACGATCAAAATCTTAATTATCTCAGATTGCATTTCGATGCTTTTGGTGACCTGATTGTTGGCATCTCATTGCTTCGGGAAGCGTTGAAAGTTGGGCCACCCTCCACTTTGGAATGTGTCCGCTACTCGGAAACACATGTCCCAGCCGTGCTATAAGGCTCACAGTGGCATCTGTGGCACATGCACTTTGCCGCCCAGTTATGCTCTCTTCAAGAACTCATAAACTTAAACGATGGGGCTGATGCTTTACAGCCCCATTGCATGGGTTTCCGTTTTACATGTAAATGATGGTGAAAGCCGGTGACATGTGGCACAGCACCTCACTCTCCTGCTGCTTGGCCTTCACATGCCACGAGGTGCTCCATGACCATCATTGGACATAAAGAATGCGTGCCGTTTTGGGATTTCGATATTCATTTCTCAATACAACATGTACTGGCAAGCCAAGGAAACGCGGTCAATGCCCAAACATGCAATGTGGATTCAGCGCAACAGCAAAAACACCAGTATTCAAGCTTCTACTGTAGGAGAGCTTCCACCACCGCTTAATCGCTTCTGCCAAAATCCTGTCCCCCGTTCTGATTCCTCAATCCTCACATCATCTCGGACCCGTGTTGTGCCCATTGCAGGTCGGGATTGCCAAGTAATGAACCGGAAAGACACAACGGCTTCAGAAACCCTAACAAATCCGACAATACCAGTGGCAACATGTTGTTAGTATGTGTGCTCGAGCTTTCAGAGGTGATGCTTGGAAGCAGCCGAACAGCCAGTTTAGAGATGTTTTGAGGCCTGTAGTAGGGCCTCAAGGCTTAGGGTTGATGGCTTCAGTATTAAGGGTTCTTCTTCAAGCTTTCTGAATTAACAGGTTCCGCAGCGCTCGAGATCGAACGACAAACCAGGTTTGTTTTCGAGCTCGTGCAGGCTTGTCTGCATCAGAAGTCAGTGCAAGTCTCGGCAAGGAGACGTGGCATCTGCCTTGTAGAAGTGTCGCTCAGTTTCCGTGCGACACATGGCCTGGATCTCGGTACGAGTCCACGTGAGGTTCCCCTTGAAAGCCTTGTAGGCCTCGCTGTACCACTTTGTCTTGCCAGAATTTGAAAACACTGGCATCTTGAAGCCTGGAAAGATTTTCGAGAGGATCTCTCCCCAAGACTCTGAATCCTCTGACCTCAGCACCAAGGCGGAGCATTGCTTACCCTGTATCAAGGAGAACCTGTTCTGCAGATCAAAAGGCTCCGAGAGAACATTCAAAGATGTTGCCCCTCTGAATTCCCTGGAGAACCATTTGGCGTAGAATGCAAGAACTTGCTTGTGCTGGGCGCGGAAGTCTTTGATGAGTGCTTCTGCGTTGTGCTGGCCCATGTACACGATGTCCTCCATAGTCCACCTTCTCTCCCCGTTTCGTGGGGCTCTGTCACTGAAGCGCTCTACTCCACGCGGATGGTAACCATAAGGATGGTTCTCCATCAAAACATTCTCGAAGTACTCGGAAGGATCCCTGCTAAAGTGGCTCCGGGCTGCAGTGATAATGAAGCACTCATCTCCTGCAGGCAACGGGATAGCCCTCCTTCTTATGCTGTAGATGCTATTAGGGGGGTTGGTGCCCACGTGAGCCTTTTGCGGTTCCGCATGCATTGCTCCATCGCAGTCCCTGTGAAAAACGTGGGAACATGAAGCGAACCATGAAGAGAGCCACAACTCCGGCCCACCGCCCACCCGTGCCCCACCTTATTAGAGCGAGGAACTTCCGGTCTTGAATGCAAATGCCAGCTACACTCTAGCACAGAGCGATAATGCCATACAATACAGTACCAGTACTGCGCAGTCCGGCAGAGTACAGCAAAAGCTCAGTATGGCGCAGCCACCCTTGCCATGCTTATAGACCTGTGCAAGCTTAGCTTCAACATCTGAAAAATACATCATTTACAAACCCTGCAAAATGTCCTGGATTCAATGACCATTCCTGCGACAGTGCGAAGCCTTGTTGGAGGACAGGCAGATCGACGTGAGCGCCTTGCAGCCACTGCTTCGCGTGTGATTTGGCATGGACGTGTGCTGCCGTGAGATTTGCAAATAGCTTCAGGCCCTTCACGATTGCGGTGGATGCCACCTTCCCGTACTGGAAAACCATGATCTTGCGTTTTCCAGGTCTGCTAGGCTCCCAGTACTTGATCATCTCCAAATAGTTTTCGTTCGTCAAGCAGGATGAAAAGCAGGCGAAGGGTGCGCACATGTTCGTCGAATCCCAGCAGCCAGGTTCGAAAGGATTGCTGATAAGGCCGTCTGTCCATGCCGCGCGACCCAACTCAAAACCATACTGTGGACTTCTGCAGGCTTTCAAGTCTTCTGGGAGGTGGAATGGTTCGGTACGCTGGCAATCCAACTCTGCGCTGGCGTCACTGGAGGCAGCAGACAAAGCGAGTGTGTGTTCGGGTTTTGCCTCCGCGCGACCTTCTGCGTCCACGGACGACAATACTTGCCTCACACGCACAATCCAGCCCAGCCCCAGCAGGCTAGCCGCTGCTAGCACATAGCGAAGGCGGAACATGTCAAGCGTAATTGCTTGTACTTGCTTCTGCCGTGTGGTGCTGAATTTCCTTGCATGCAGTGCCGTTCCAACTGCCATAAGCTGAGTGTAGATTGTATATGTCTGTATGTATGATCACAGCAGAACAACTTCAGGCGCAGGTGTTGAGGATGTCAAAAGTTTCTGTTTTCCGCAGGTGAAGCTCGGAGAAGAACGGCGTTCATGATTTGGACCAGAGGTCCGGCATCCAGCGTTTTCACTTCGGGCTTCTTCTTGATGCGAATGTGACGCTACATCAAGACTTTGCAACTCCCTTTAATCAATCCGAGTTGTGCTCACAAAGTCTGGGATCAGTAGGAGTGACGCTTCAGTCTCAAGAGACAGAGCCGTGCCTGCACTACTAGTTATACTAGTTACAGCTCGAAGATTCCCAGCGTTGCAGGGTGAGCCGTCTACACCTTGGACCTTCAACCACATGTCCCAGCCTTCACCGATTGATCCTCGAACCCTGCCATCCCTAGCCCTCGCCTGTCGAGGTCTTGTGTTCAGGGGATTGAGTGCCTGAGGACGGCGGCGAGGCATCCAAGTCCTGCGTAGCTGGTGACAGGCAACTTATGCTCAGCAGTTCCTCATTTTCTTGAGTAACAGTCAAACAGTGTTCTTGGAATGTGTAGAAACTCCAGCTCCACGGAGCTCCAGGGGTGTCTCGAACTTCGGGCATTTCATTGTATCGCATGTGGCTGCTAGGACGTAGCTACCAAATTCCGAAGCTTCGTCTCAGCTTCGCAGATCAGAGCAGTCGCAGGACAAAATCCATCGGCTCCAGCAACCCAACCAGCCCAACACAAGGACCCAAAGGCCGAATCCCACATGAAAGCTGCGTGGGCAGCGATCATGTGAATCCATGCTTGCCATCAAACAACAAGCAAGATGCAGCCAACAACACCGAACGAACAACAAAGCCAGATACCCACCATTAGCAACAACTATCAGAGCGGCTGAAGCTCACTACCCCAAGGCACCAAAGCGGACACCTTTATCATATCGCAGTCGAATAGCCGTTTTCTTCGGCGCCGAGGCCAGCTCCTCACAGCATCTCACAGCAAGCAACGCTCGTGGCATTCTTGAGGGTTTAGGGTTTAGGGTTCAGGGGTTTAGGGTTCCGGGTTTAGGGTTCAGGGGTTTTGGGTTTAGGGGGCCCAGACAGGGGTAGACTTTGAAAGCCGTTTTCGGGTGTGAAAGCCGCTCGTTGAAAGTGCAGGAGATCAGGGTTCAGGGTTTAGGGGTTTCGGCTCTAGGGTTTAGGTGGCCAAGACTGGGGTAGACTTTGGAAGTTTGGTTCTCCTGCACTTTCACCGAGCGGCTCCCACACCCGAAAACGGGTGCGGTCGCTTCTGGGCGCTGTTGAAAAGCATCGAGAGTCAGACGGATATGACGCTATACCTTTGCCATCGACGACCAAGTGACACAAAAAATATGTGCTACTGGTCTGGATGGCTTTCTTTGCACCGGGGTTGTGTGGACACACGGCCGTGGGGGAGCGGGCCTCAACGAAGACGAAAAAATTTGCGTGCTTTCAGACACAAAGTTTGCACTGCTCCCTCGGCAACACGAAGGCAAATAAATTACCGTGACGTGTCGAACGCCGTTACCCCCTCCCAGGTGATATTTATTGCTGACCAAGGACCCAAAACAGATTAAATTACCAAGAATGCTCTTTGGGGGGGGAAACCGCTCCCAGCGGTGCCAACGGGTGAAACACTGAATGTTACACATCCAGGTGTCTGTCTGTTTCACGTATCACTTGCATGTATCCATGCCTGTTGCTCAAGGTTCTAGTGCAGTACAGTGGACTACAGCTGTGCGCCTGTAGCAAAAGAGACACCTGAGTGCCTGTGTTCCTGTACGCCTAGCGAAGGGACACACGTCCATGTTACATCTCAACGTGGTAGCGGAGCTCCCGGGAAACGGGAAGCTTCACACTTGTGGAGGTACCCGTTCGGTACTCTCTACACAGGTGGAGGCAACCGGAATACCCGGTGTGCTTCACACAAGTGAAGGTGACCGGAGTCTCTCCGGTACGCTTTACTTAAGTAAGAGAACCGGAAGAGGTTTCTCCCGGGGCTCGATCCAAGAACAGTGCAATGGCTAGCCACTCTGCGACTATCTTTGAGCATGATGGAGGAGATGATGACTACCTCCTTCAAGGCAATGAACCTTTCGCGACTAACCACCGTCATCTCAATGAACTACACCGTCTTTCAGCTTTCCAGCGGGTGACCACCAAAGTACCTCCATCTTACGATGGTAGAAGTAGTTGGTTCGCCTATGAGGATGCGATCGATGAATGGTGTGACATTACTGAGCTAGACGCTGATAAGGACCAGCTTTGAGAAATCGGCTAGAAGGTGAAGCAGCTGTCCACAAGAGGCTTCTCGACAGGGATCGCCTGAAGGATGCGACCAACGGAGTGAAGTACTTCAAGAGCTTCCTGCGGCCGCTCTTCGTGAAGGGAGCAGCGAATGTTTTCCTCTACCGCTTCCAACAGTTCATGAACTTGCACCGCGGGAATGGAGACATGCTTCGTTGGATTACCAGGTTTCAACTCTCTGTTCAGAACGACACCTACCTGCCGATCGTGGACCCGAACAATGCAGAGGTCAGAGCCTTCATAGCAGGACTTCCACCAGAAGAACAAGAAGGACTCACGGCAGAGCAAGCAATGGAGAGAGCCAACGAACGGCTCAGAGATCAGCATGCTCGGACCATTCCGATCACGGCCAACCTCGTTGCTTTGATCTTCGTCTCCCTGTCCGACCTTACACAGGATCAGCGGCAGGTCTTGACATCATTGATGGCGCATCGGAACCGGGTTTTGGCTGACTACAACGTGACGGAGCTGCGTGAGGTCTACCTTGAGATCTTCTGCACGACCAAGACTACCGTCGACAATCCTCTCCTCGCTCCTTCAGGCCACGGTGGCCGCAAGACGTTCATTGTGATCGACGAAGGATATTTGGACAATCATGAAGGCTACTGGGTCGAGGACGAGGAGGATGGCACAGAAGATTTCCTGGAAGCAGATGAGGACGCCTTCTGGGTTTACGACGACGAGAACTACTCATGGTTCCAGCGGCGCTTCCAAGGCCGCAAGATGAAGCGCGGATTCAAAGGCCACCGCAAGGGCAAAGGAAAAGGTGGCAAGGGACCCAAAGGAAGCGCTTCTTCAAGAGGAAGAAAGGCAAGTCTAACCTTGCCGAAGAATCAGAAGCATGGCAAGCAGAAGGACAATGGCAAGATTACCAGTGGAGCGATCAGTCCTGGGATGACTGGTCCTGGTATGAGTCAGAGGAGTCCTATGCAGCCAAAGGAGAAGGGAAGAAAGGAAAGAAGGGCAAAGGAAAGAGCAAGTTTGGCAAAGATGGAAAAGATGGAAAGTCCGGAAAGGACGGACAAGCCCAGCTTGCTGATTCTGCCCCGAGTGGCACCACAGCCGCCACAACCTTCTTCGTTGAACACTTCAACTCTCAGAACCTTTCTTTCATGGCCACCGAAGAGAAGATCGACAAGATCGAAGAAGCTTTCATCTCTCAGCCCTTGACGCCGACCTCGATGGTGTTGGACTTGGGGTGCACGAGAGCAATGGCTTCGAGAGTGGCCGCACAGGACCTCATGGAGTTCTGTGACAAGAATCAGAACTGTGGCATTTGGTACACCATTGCTGAGACCACCTCTCAGTTCACCTTTGCCAACTCCGAGTCGACCAAGCGCAACCAGAAGTTGGTCATTTGCATGTACGACCGGGATTACGCAGTTCAATCCACCGAGTTCGACATTGTGGAGCAGGGACATGTTCCTATTCTCATGTCCTTGCCACAGATGCGCAACTTTAGGTTCCAGTTCGAACTCCATCCGGACAAGGCCTTGCTCAGCAGCCCTGTGCTGGGAATCAAGGATGTGAAGCTGAAGGTTGCACCTAGCTCACACCTGGTACTTGACCTTCTCGAACTCAGTCAGTTGATGTGGAATGTGCGGTTCAACACGCACAAGAAGTCGAGCTTCCTCACCTACTTCTCCCACTACGAATACGGCTTCCACCAGAAGACCGAGGGATGCTCTTCTCAGGAAGAGGTACCCGAGAATCTCGTGTTGGCGACAGATGATGAATGGGTGATCAACGAAGCCGACATGGAGATGATCCGCATCCACAAGAAGATGAGGAAGGTTAAGTACGAACCCAAGGCGGGTTTTAGTGCCTATCCCATTGGAGTATCTGGACAACAAGCGCAAGACGATCATGCAGTTCTCCAAGGGTAAGAGCGTTACTCAAGAAGATGACTGGCGTTCTTCTGAGCCTCCTACCTCAAGGACTACTGATTCTTGGAACGGTAGGACTATCTTCAGGATTTTGCCTGGAGGTATCGAGAGTAGAACCTCGGTACCAGCTAAGTCCAAGGATCCAACCCGTGCTAAGGTAGGATCACCAGAGGACATGATTAGCAAAGGCAAGCCTGAAGACAGCTCGAAGAACACAGGAGCATCCAGAAGCTTTCCTCAGGGAAAGGCACCGGTAGCGAGAAGGATTCGAGCCAAGGGAAGCTTTCCTCAAGGGAAGGTACCCAAGGAACCGGCTCCTCCTCCTCTTGCTCCTGAGGATGATCCGGATCTTCAAGAGTACGAACCTTCCGAACCGGGGGATGCAGATT